GTGAAGTCTGTCTGTCTTAAAAAGAGACATTCTTTGCCAGAAAATATTAAAGTTATCGACATAACACACACGGTGAGCCCTGCAGGTGGATTGGAGCCAGTTGTGGAGGCCAAGGAGTCTACGGAAGCGGCCAGCACCGCGACCAACTGTGGGAATGGGACCAGAGATAAAAACGAACTTTCCACACTGCTTTAAAAAGTTAAAAAGACAGACAGACAGCTGAAGAGCTGTCATTTGTTCCCACATGGACTATCACTCTTTTGATGGAGGACGGGAGCGATGGCATTAGGTCCTGGAGTTTTTTTTAAATGTCAGCCGTGGTGGCACCGGGGAAGCAGTGAGTGGTAGCGTTAAAGCAACAGATGTTTCTGGTTATGGAGTCACCAATTATTAGTGTGGTTGGGGAGAAAAGGGGACGAGGAGATGCCGGTTGTGGGGTTCCAGAGCAGGACTGAGCAGAATCTGCTTCAACACTGCGTGCGGACTGAGGATGGAGTGTGTGCAGTAACAGACCTGAGAGAAGGGCTACCCGACGGTGCAGGGTAGAGACGGCCTCCGGAGCGTCTGAGCACAGTCTCCTTCAGGATCCTACGTCGGGAAGCGGAGGTTTTTGACCGGGATGACGGCCGCCGATCAGGCCCAGCGGCAGACCGGCGGCCCAGCTGATCACGGTTTGCCGGTGGCAGAAATGCTACAATGTCGGCAGGCACTATCCGTCGAAAGAGATTCGTATCAGGGAGACTTCAAGCCGCAGGTGCATCCGCTGGAAGGACTGGAGTGTCGTCAGACAGGGCTGCATAGCGGTTGGAGAGGCCGATGTGCGGAGGAGAGGCAGCCCTGTCCGAGCCACTTAACCACCACTTCAGCCCAGGTTGACTGATGCTTCAGCGTCGAGCAGGAGGAAAGCCTTGGAAGGGCAGAGGGGTCCCATAGCACGGTGTCCTGGATGTTAGCGGTTGCGCTAATAGAAACAATCTGTTTGGCTTGTACTGAAGCTGTCTTGACATAAGATATTACACTAAAAACACAAAAAGAAAAATGTCTGTGAAGGTTCTCAGTCTTCCAGGTCATAGTTATCCAACAAAGGTTAAGGTCAAGGGCAACTGGACTTTGTAGAAGAAAAACTAGAAGACGTTTCGTCCCTCATCCAAGAGACTTCTTCAGTTCTGACTGACAGCTAGGATCGTCGATACCGCTGGTTCGTTAGTGTTCCTGGCTGTTTTAATGACAGAGTCTGAACAACCATCGTTGGTATCTTCACCTGAGGCCAATTGGAAATGCTTGTTCAGTTTCCTGGGAAATGATGCATGCATTGTAAATGACTTCCTTGACACCTCTTTCAAACCATCCATCTTCTCTGTCTAAAATGTGCACCTGGTGATCCTCAAACGAGTGTTCTCTGTCCTTCAGATGTAAGTAAACTGCTGAGTCTTGACCTGAGAAGTTAGCCTTCTTTGTTGAGCCATGCGTTTGTGTAGTGGTAGTTTCCACAATATACAGGTCTGTGCATTAATCACTGCATTGGATTGCATACACTAGATTGCTTTCCTTGTGATTGGGTGTGCGGTCTTTGGGGAGGACCAGTATCTGTCTTAGCAAGTTCTTGGGTTTAATAAACACAGGGATGTCGTGTTTGTTGAAAATCCTCCTGAGTTTCTCTATAGTCTAGACACGTATGGAATCACAATGTTGTTGCGTTTGACCTTCTCCTCCTCATCCCCTGTAGTGTTCTTCCTGGATTTTGTGGCTGTTTTCACAAAGTCCATTTAGGGTAGCCGAGTGCCCCCTTCAGGTGGTTCTGTTTCTTCTTTGCACATCTTCTCGTGTGAACTTGATCTTACGGTGGTGGTGGCGCATAGATAAGATACTTGCCTTTGGTGTGGGAGACCTGGGTTCAGTTCTCACTGTGAGACATCCACCATTGTGTCCCTGAGCGAGACACTTAACCCCTAGTTGCAGTGCGACCTCTGACATGTATAGCAATTGTAAGTCGCTTTGGATAAAAGCGTCAGCTAAATGAATTAATGTGAATGTTACTGTCCACGGAGTTGATATGTTCTGTGAAGGCTTGCACTTCCTGGGTTTTTTTTTTGACCCAAATGTCATCCACATATCTGTACCAGTGGCTGGGTGCTGTTCCTCTGAAGGAGTTGAGGGCTTTTTCCTCCACTTCACCATGTACATGTTAGCCACAAGGTGATCCCACAAAGTCACAGGGACAAATAGTATACAGCCCACTGTGCAAACTATAATGCATTACAATTTACTATAGAAAATGCAAATATGCAATATAACTGTTTCTGGTTCTAGTTTCTAGTTGTTGTAGCTGCTGTTATTCATTATTAATAGCTGAAAATAACTAACTGTGACCATCACATAGTTTGTGCATTTAATTACATGACAGCAAGACATAAAGGAGGAATTGGTTTTCAGGGATTATAAAATAATTCTGATAACTAGTTCTGTACAGTGGGACAATAACAAAATTGACTACATTGTTCATGGACAGAGATGCGCTATTGTATCATAATGAGATGATCAGATTGTGCAACCATTTTAAACAATTCTGTTATCTAAAGCACAGTGGAGCAATTACAGTTCCTTCTCTTTTTCCCCTCCTTTTGCACGTTTGACAATGAAAAACTTACAGGTGGCTCACTGCTTAAATGGGGTTATATAGCTAATGAAATGGCCACCATAACCTTAATACTAGAACATTTATACAATCTGCAAATTCCCTGACTGCCTGCCCCTCCTCTTTGTGTCCTTTGCATGCCCTCCGCTTGATCATGCCATTTCATCCATAACCTGACTAGTGAATAAACTGGTGTTGTTTGTGCTCCGTGCTAGAAAGGACATTGTTACTGTGATGGACTATATTGATGTACAGTGAGGAAAATAAGTATTTGAACACCCTGCTATTTTGTAAGTTCTCCCACTTAGAAATCATGGAGGGGTCTGAAATTGTCATCGTAGGTGCATGTCCACTGTGAGAGACATAATCTAAAAAAAAATATCCAGAAATCACAATGTATGATTTTTTAACTATTTATTTGTATGATACAGCTGCAAATAAGTATTTGAACACCTGAGAAAATCAATGTTAATATTTGGTACAGTAGCCTTTGTTATTTTTAAGTACAATTTAAAATTTACTGTATTTACTGTTTTTTACAGTATTATAACGAATAAAATACTGTTATTTAGCTGTTCATGTAAAATAAGACAAAGGACATTTGAAGACTTAACTGCACAAAAAGCAGATTGTTTATTGCACAAGTAGAATAATACAGTCATAATAACACATATATAAAGAGATCTGTTTTGAAACTGATAATCTAACAATGTCGTAGGCAGTCAGTAATCAATGTATAAAAAGGGGTTCTCTAAAATTATTTCCCTATAACTAGCCACTGAAACTAGAAAAGCCAGTTTGAAGATAAGAAAATACTGAAATAGATGTGTTTCCATCCAACTAGTCGAAAATATGGGCCATCAACCATCTCGCCCACATGCTAAACATGACATTCTCCATAAAGATCATCAGAATAAATAACAACTAATCAAAAATCCAGGAAATTGTTGGCTCAACATTCAACCAGGCCACAGTTATCCTGTCAAGACACATTGCAATACACAAAAGAATCTTCACAAAACAATTTCTCACTGTAGGTGTTCTGGGGATGTCAGCATCGGAGAAGTAATGGTGGTGATGTTAGATAGGTGAGGATGGAGGGGGTGGGGGGAGCCAGGTGATGAGGATGGTGGTGGGCAGTGGTGACAGCAGTTGTGATTCTCCTGCAAAAAATGAAATACACAAAACAATCACTGGTACAGAAATTCACATTATCTGAACACCTTTGAGTGAATCTATAAAGGCTAATCTGCACTCTGATTACACAAGACAATCAATACCTTTGAATGTGACTTGGTGGGAATTTTGGTACATGGTGGACTCAGACACAGTAAGGGACATGTACATGACTTCTGTGAGTGCTTTGATGTCAAGTCTTTGAGTATTCAATCATCACCCTCCTATCTATAAGTTAGAGTACAGACAGGTGTATTTTCAGAGACTTTTTCCTATCCAATTTTAGTCTGGGAGTCAATGGAAAAATTGGACACTTACTCTCATTTCTAGTGACAGGAGGACCAAGACACACAATTTTGGTTTTATTCACAACTATTCTCAAATATACGTTCTTAGACCATCATAACTTATAGTAACTCATAATACAGGTCTGTTTTACCGAAGCATACCAACAAGCTGCCACAAGCAATAATTTTATCTACTAATTAAGCTCATCTTTAGCTGTCATGTAAAATGTTTAATATAGCAAATGGCTTAAACCAAGTTCAGAGTATCTTAAATCCAATAAATCACTAACTAAATGTAAATATATCTAGTAATTTTAGTGGGCCATTCTACAATAATGGGCCATGATAACGTTATGTTAGTTAGTAATAATGGACTTACAGTTTTACAGGTTGGAATCCTGAAGATGGTCTTGGTCCCACAATATGGCTGAGCTCCCACCTTGTGAAAATAAGAGAACAGAAAAGCCAGTTAAAATAAAAATCAAGAAGACTGCCTGCAAACATAAATTAACTTTAATGTTAACTTACATGCAAAAACTCAGACTCACAGCTCCATTAAATAACATAGAAACTATACATTATAAAATAAAATGTGCAAATAAAGCATTTTGTTTAAGCTATTAATGTTCATTTAATCAGCTTCTAACTTACTGACGGCTATGGGCTATATGTAGTTTTTCCAATTAAATCACTTATGAATCACTTTTTTACTGCCTTGTTGTCAACGGGCTGTAACCTGACTTAGAAATGAACAACACACTTGTTTTCGCTGTTGCTTACCACAAAGCAGCTACTGTTCTGCTTCTTATGTGAAGGAATCGGCTCAGGTTCTAGCTACAAATTGCTCTCCCCGGTCTCTTGCAGACTACAGTGACAACATTGCTGCTAACGCAATGCAGTGCACTAACACCATTAAACAACCCAGCAAAACACAGACTCCAACAAAAAATCCATCATAAACTCCATGTAACGATAAAAAAACCAATAAAGTTTTAGTGACATTCTAATGAACTGGTCAGCCTTAGCACATTTATTTATTATTATGTTGCTTTTACCCACAACCTGCCAATGGACTGCAGATGTGAATTAGCTTGAAGCTACAATCTGGTACAGTGCATCAAATGGTAATGTTTATGTTTTACTGTACGCTTGCCCTTTTTAAATAAATAAATGAGAATTAAAAAAAAATAACAAAGTTTTATGTGCTGAAGCCCATCAGGCCAAAGGAGAATCAAATCGATGTATGGTGAAAACACAGTCAACATCAGAAATGCTTGAGTCATGGAAGGACCTGTGCTCGGTTTTGAGACTGACAAAACCAACACAGAGTTGGCTTTCATCCTATTGGACAGGTAAACTAAAATTACTGCAAAGAATGTCAAACACAGTGTGATGTTGTGCTTGAGTTAGACAAGTTAGACACCGAGCTGTAACTAACATTATCCGGTGCAAAATTATGGCTTTCCACATTACTTAACCAGCTAATGCGACCCATATTACTATCCTGTGAACCACCAGTAAAATGTCAAAGTGCTGATTTAGCTTGCAAGAAATGATGTAATGGTACAAAGCAAATGTGGAAAGATTTGTTTTTACTAGCCTATAATAATGCAAGGCAGGAGCAGCCAGATAAATTAGCACAGATCTGCCGCTGTTTGCTTCGTAATGTATAATTTAGATGTATTGTTGTTATACCAATGCTCAGGTACAAAGCTTTATCACCGGTTTCAGTCCCTGTAACTTACGTCGCCCACATAACATAGTAATGCAACCTTACCAGCTGTTCCAGCAGAAATATGGTTGTTGGTAGTGAAAAGCTCTGCTGGAGTGCTTTTGTAGATTTCCCAACACATCTAGATATAGGAATCGTAAATATTCATCATGTTGAATATTTCGGGGCACGTCCGCTGATCAGAAATCCTGATGTGTGGGGGGGATCCCCGAGGAGCATAAGAAACACAGTCATGGCGCAGCACAAGGTGAAATTAATGTGGACAGCAGAGATGGAGGATCAGCTTGTAGATTTGTGGCAACAGCAAGAATGTTTGTTCAACGTCGCAATTTCTTCCTGCATATCGTCCGCCATGCTTATTCTGAAGTGAGATTTCGCGAGATTTCCTGTATTCTAGACTCGGGTTGAAAATCTGTTTGTGTGTGGTGTGCCATGATGTGACAAAGACAGCACTATAGGAGCAAAACTGTTAAATCTAGGATTTTTTCTCCTCATGTTTGTGGTCTATCACATTTTGAAAATCTTATAAGATGTAAAAAATCCTTTGGTGTGTACCCAGCATAAGAATAGAAAGTGTCACATGCATAGGTAAATTTGTGATATTGAGCTATATAAACAAAATTAGATTTTTGACCAGTAAATTATTGAGACCAAACTGTAGCCAGTTCTTTGCTAAAAATAGTTAGAATATGGTACCACGGTAAATTATTAGAGAGACTGAGAAACAGTGGTACCAAGGCAATGTTTAAATGAATAAACACTACAGTGACTTTTCTGGAGAAAGTATCTACATAAGTGTGCAGAGGTGCTTCCAATTCAAAGAGGCTGCTTGCAGTTGAAATGGGGAAATGCTGAAAGCAGATTATTTCTGTATGACTCTGTTGGTACTTAATGCACTTGATCTGTCTTAAGGTATGTTTTTAATACGTGACTAATAACAATGTTCATTTGACCATCATCACTGTAGATATTAGTTAGTAATAAAGAGACCCAACAGCGATACACAGTATGTGTGCAGTGTGTGTTGTGGATTGCTGAAGCGATTTTTAGAGTAAGTTATATATGACATACAGTTGATCAATATTAACACTTCAAAACACACATCACAAGAAAAAAACACTTTAGGAGAAGTGTTCCATGCTTGTGCTGGTTTGTCGGTTTCTCAAGATGACAAAAATCGCACATTGACAGTAGGGCCTACTTCTCTTTTCAAAACGTTTTACATTACTTCAGTAATCGAGAGGGTAAAGGGGCAAACAAAACATTTTCTTTTCATTATTCATTGTTAAAGGTGTAAATGTGTAATTAGTTATAAGATACACATAATGTGATATTGCAAAATTATAAGTGTGTAAAAGCCTGCCAGTGTTTGGGCAGGAGAAATATTGCTCAGCAATGTCTAGGGACTTCCTGAAACCTTGTTGTTGCACAAAGAGGGAAGGAATAGAAAAGTGAGGAGAGGAAGGGTCAGTTCAGAACTTAAACACTGTTCATGAAGGAGAACCGGAGAACGAGGTCGAAAGAGGTAAAACACAAGATCTGTTTTTAAAATAAGTTTTTGGACAAGTTGTTAAAGTGATTAATTCTTCCCTAACTAATATCAAAATAATATCAAAATACTTTTTGATCTTGAGTGGTCAATTGTGCTGGAGAAGAGTGCTTTAGTTTGCTTTAGTAAATGAGTCAGGGAGCCCAAAGCTGCATTTGTTGTAGAGATTATTGTGTTAAAGTTAATTTACAGTACAAAAGACTTTTTGAGAACAGGGCCCCATTTCAGAAAGCTGGATTAGTGAAAATTCTGAGTATGTTAAGCCTGCAAGGGAAACTGAGTTTTCCGTTTCGGAGAGCGAGATCAGATAATCCCTAGATCAGTAACTCCGGCAACTGATGCTGTGAACCTAACCTCTTCAGGAGGAGGATGATAAGTTGGAAAACCATCAGTTTGTCTCTGACTCCTCCCCTCCCGCGGAGCCTGGGGCTTCAGAGGGTTGCATGGAGAGGGCCAGGCAGAGCAGGGGATTGAAAATCTGCTGGCCGGCTGAGAGCTGCTAAACTTGAGGGAGAGGAGCAGGGAGCAGCGCTGCAACCACTGGACAAATAAACACCCGTACTCGGTTGGATTCTGCTCTGACAACTACGCCGTTTACTCGCGGGAGGAGCTCGGAGTTACCGCTTTTATTAAATTAGATTTTTACTTTAGTTTTTGGGATTTCAACGTTGATTTGTCTTCACTGGAGATTCTCAGCAGCTACCTTCCGTGCACATCTTATTCCGGGGTTGTTGTTAGCGTCATTAGCTCTGTTGGACTACGACTTCATATTTATATAAAAACCGGACAAAACTGGACATTACTTGGAGAAAAGAAAGCAAGGAGGTTGAACTACCTGGTGAGTTCAGAAAACATGTGTCTGTAACTTTATTCCAGCTATCGTACTTTACTGGGACCAAGTCAGCATAGCATAGCCCTGATCTATCCAAACTCCATTGAGAAAACAAACATTTTAGAAGTTGTTGTCTTGCTGTCTTGCTGACAGACCTGACAAAGCATGAATTCATATGTTTAACAAATCTGCATCATGTTGTAGTTAATTCGGCATCAGTTTAATCCGTTTATTGCTATTTAATCACAGCAAAAGGTTTACTTTGGGTTCATACAGTAATGGCGAGTTTGTTGTTTAATGTTTATTCACGCTATAGCGGTAAAATTGCCTTCTCGCGTTGTGTGCGAACACTTGCAGCGAATGTACTCACGCGAGGAAAGCGTCGCAAGGCGAAAATTCGCGTTTGGTCTGAATGCGGCATGAGGCGGCTGTCTGAAACAGTTTAATTTCCTCATTCTGTCGATATCAAAGCACATATTTGAACGCATTTACATCTTTAAAAACTTTAAAATCCCGGTTAGATAGGCTATTAGTTTTTCATGCAAACATGATCAATCTGTCATCGATGTATGGACAGATCTCTGCACATTGTGGATTTATCCTCAGCTATGTCCTCTTCCTGACTCTGTGGACAGTCGCACTGAAAACACTTACTGTGTGCTAAATTACTGCAGTAATCACTGTTCAATATGTTACCTATAAAACTGACCAATGAACAGTAATCTTTCATATTGTAGACTAGTTGCACAGATTGGAACATTCCTATCGTCATTATCAACTGGAGATAATGTGACTATTTCTGAGTGAAGATGACTGTGGTGCAGCTGAAACAAACAGGCCTAAATAAGGTTTAAATGTGAGTTTTTCATCATTACCTGCTGATAGTCTGAATTTGTTTTGACAGCATTAATAAATGATACAAAATGAGCAAGATTTATTAATGTAAAATAGACATCTAAAACTTAAACCTATAGACACATTTTCCACTATAAAAACAATTCATCAGCTAACCTGTTGGGTATGACTGACTTTACAATCACAGGTCCACGAGTAAACTGTGTATTTGATCCATAGGCCTACCTATTTTCATAATTAGGTAAGCGATTGCCACCGGCATTTTGTCCCGTCGGGTTACAGCTTAATAAATATAGCCGAATGTAATGGGCTGCAGCACTTTATCATTCATTAAGGAAATTCCTGTCTGGTAAATGATGAATGAGCAACGCTGTATAGTAGCCTATCATGGTCCGCGTTGGCACGCATTCATATCACTAGCTCTACCCGATTAAAATGGAGACTCTGCCTTTGTTTACCCGTTGCCATGATGAATCGTAGTATCGCATGGGCTTCCATCAAAAACACTCAGGGTTGATTGAACTTATTCTGATCAGCTGTTCTGGAACCGAAATTCAGAGTTTCCCACCTCAAGCTCAATCAACTCAGAGCTCAGGGATAAGCTCAGAGTTCCCCTTCGAGGGAACTCGAACTGCGTCGGTTACGACACTATGGGAACGCCTCTAGGCGAAGCAGGTCTGAACGTGAATGAAATCACTCCAATCCTATTGGCCTGTTGCTAGAACGGTAAGGTGTGACGGAATAACCGGAGGAGTATAAAGCACACCTGTACACACTCATCATTAGCTTTTTTTTATTCAGCAGGCGCTCTGTATGTTGTTTGAAGAAAGCTCCAGTCCTACAAGCAGTATGTCTTACCTGAAGAAGAAGTCTACCAGCATGTCCGGCAACCAGATGTACAGAAGGTGTGTTTTTCCTTGCCCTCGGTACATCACGGATGGAGATTCTCATGAGATGTGTGTCTCATGTTTGGGGATGGAGCACGCACGGGCAGCTCTCGAGGGGGCTGCCTGCGCCCGTTGCAAAGCCCTTTCCGTGCGGGTACTGAGGTATAGCATGGCTCTCTTTTCCGAGGATGGCCGGATGTGTTTTCCCCGTGGCGCGGGCCCTGCGGCCGCTGAGGCGGCCCGGCGGCTTCACTCATGGGTTCACAGCGTGATCTGTCGGAGGATTTCGGGACGGCTGAGGCTTTTTCCCGACCTTCATCCGCTGGCTCCGACGCTTCCTTTCCTCGTTCGGGAGCCCATTCTCGGCTTCTCCCGCTCGCGGTTTTGGATCCGGAGACGCTGCAGCAATCCGACTCCGAGGAGGCGGACGTGCTCAGCGCAGTGACGATGACTTCCGGGTGTCGGGGCGGCGTCATCTGGCCGCGCCCGACTATGACGTGCTGCTGGAGGTGGTGACTAGAGCCGTGGCACGGGAGGAGCAGACACCACAGGCTAGTGGTAGCTTGATGAAAGATTTCTTAAGCACCACACGCCACCTCCACGCCGGTCTCTGCCATTCTTTCCTGATTTACATGATGAACTGAGTAATCATGGGGCAGACCCTTCTCTACATGGCTTTCCACACCCCGATCACTGAACTACAGTAATGTGATAGGGGTTAGGGACCGTGGTTATGGGAGGATGCCTCGGGTGGAGGATGAGCTTGCGAGCTATCTCTCCCCTCGACTTGCCTCCTCCCTGGAGAAGCCGGCGTTACCATCCAAACCATGTCTCACCACATCCACGCTCGTGGGGAAGGCGTACATGGCAGCAGGCCAGGCAGGTGCGAGCTTGCACACCACGGTGCTTCAAGCCTACCAAGCCAACCTGCTACAGGAGATGGTTCAGAGGGGGGGTCCCTCCGAGGAAGATCTGGCGGAGCTTCGCAGAACCACGAAGCGTTAGACGCAGTGCGAAGCGTTCCGCCAGTACCTCCCTCGCCGGTCTGGACCCAAGGCAGCTGAGGCTGCCAGGCGTAGGTCCCTTCCCTCTACGAGCTCCTACGGAGAGGAGAGGAAGCAGAGTGTCGCTTCTCGGGGGCCCCCCGAGGAGCTGGGGCAGCGAGACGGCGCTCTCACCCTCAGCCGTCTGAGAGACGCGATCTGAGGACCGTCATCCAGTCCCGACGGAGCTCAGGGAAGACCGGGGTAGGGGAGTCTTTCTCCCCTCCCCCCCCCCCCCCCCCCCCCCGGAGGCCGACCGAGGTCCCCTCCGCCGTGGCAACAGGTGATGTTATCCCGCCGTTTACACGTTCAGGACGCACCTGCCACCATCGAGTCCGCGCCGTACTGCCTGCCCCGAGGGTCTGCAGGCGGACGGCATCCCGACTAACTCACCGTGGATCTTCGGCGGCTCCCCCCTGCCGTTCTGGGGCTTCAGGGGTCCACCAGAAGATCACACGAGACACCGACCACCAGCCCCGAGGGGCTGGTTCCGTTGGCAGACTTTGCAGACGCTTGGCGGAGCCTGACGAACATTTCTCCGCGGGTCCTGCGCACTGCCATAGATGGGTATCTACAGTTCAAAACCCGCCTCCAAATTCAACAGAAGAGAGGGGGTGGTTTGGACTGTGGTCCGCCCGGAGCAAGGTCCGGTGTTGGGACAGGAGTTTGTACTCTGCTGAGGAAAGGGGCCGTGGAACGTGTCTCCCCCCCAGACAGAGACGCCGGTTCTACAGCCGGTACTTCATAGTCCCCAAGAAGGACGGAGGGCTGCGTGCCCTATTTTGGATCTGCGGGTTCTAACCAGTCTCTGAGGAGATTCAGGTTAAAGATGCTCATCATCCCCGCCACCGTGACGCACATCCAATCTGAGGATTGGTTCGTCACGATAGATCTAAAGGACGCCTATTTCCAGGTCTCCATCCGTCCTTCTCACAGGAAGTTCCTGAGGTTTGCCTTCGGGGGTGTGGCTTACCAGTATCGGGTTCTTCCATTCGGCCTGGCACTTTCCCCTCGCACATTCACCAAGTGTATGGATGCAGCACTGGCCCCGCTGAGGCTCCGGGGCATCCGGATTTCAACTTCATCGACGACTGGCTCATCCTAGCCCAGTCTCGAGAGTTGGCGGTTCGGCATCGAGATGTCGTTCTGGCTCGTCTGCGGCATTTAGGGCTGAGGCTCAACGCACAGAAGAGCGTGCTGGCGCCCACCCTACGGGCTACGTTCCTAGGGGTTGCATGGGATTCGACAACGATGCGGGCACAATTGTCTCCGGCACGTGTCGACACCATATTGGCTGCCGTGAAAGGGGTGAAGTTAGGCCACGCCATCACTATGAAACACTTTCAACGAGTGTTGGGTCTCCTGGCGGCTGCGTCCAGCGTAATACCATCTGGACTGCTGCACATGAGACCCCTGCAGTGGTGGCTAAGGAACAAGGGTTTTTCCCCGAGGGGAATCCTCTCCGTCTGGTTTGGGTTACGCGCAAGTGTCTTCATTCCCTATCAGTTTGGAAGGAAACTTGGTTCCTGTCCCAGGGGCCCGTGTTGGGAGGGTCTTGTCGCCGGCTGGTTATTTCGACAGACGCCTCCCTCACGGGCTGGGGCGCGGTCATGGACGGCCGCTTTGCAAGGGGATCCTGGCAGGTGCATCGATCCGAGTGGCATATCAACTGTCTCGAGATGTTGGTGGTGTTCCAGGCTCTAAGGAGTTTCCTGCCCGATCTCCAAGGCCACCACGTCCTGGTTCGTTCCGAGGAGAACAACACAGCGGTGGTGGCCTATCTGAATCACCAGGGCGGTCTGCGCTCGCGCCCTCTGGACAGACTGGTGCGTCAGATCCTCCTGTGGTCCCAGCAGAGGTTACTATCGCTCAGGGCGATGTATCTCCCGGGGACGCAGAATCAGGGAGCAGACCTGCTGTTGAGGCAGGGGCTGAGGCCCGGGGAATGGAGACTTCACCCTGAAGTGGTGGAGCTCTTGTGCGAAGAGTTCGGCCCCATAGACGTGGATCTGTTTGCGTCTCAAGAGACTACGCACTGCCCGCTATGGTTTCTCTCGTTCCTCCAGCCCTGTTGGGTCTGGACGCCATGGTACATTCGTGGCCGAGGCTACGTCTGTACGCTTTTCCCCCAGTCGCTCTGCTCCCGGGGTTCTGGAGCGGGTCCGCCAGGACTATGTCGGCCTACTGCTCGTAGCACCGTTCTGGCCGACCCGGGTGTGGTTCCCGGACATCATGTCGCTCCTGGACGGCCCGCCGTGGCGGGTCCCTCTGAGGAGAGACCTGCTGTCCCAGGCGCAGGGCCGGGTTCTTCACCCTTGCCCCGCCATATGGCGACTGTGGGTCTGGCCCCTGAGGGGGCACAGTACCTAGAGGCGGGTCTAACAGCCGGAGCAGTCGAGACCCTCCTGAGCTCCAGGGCCCCGTCCACACGGAGGATGTACGGCCTGAAGTGGAGTGTTTTCTCCACTTGGTGTAGGGAGCGGTCGGTGGACCCTGTTACCTGCCCGGTGGTCCAGGTACTTGAGTTCCTCCAGGACCGGTTCTCTGCTGGTCTTTCCCCTTCCACCCTCAAGGTGTACGTGGCAGCTTTTCATCTTTCCACACCCCTCTGAGGGAGGGGTTCTTGGGGAAACTTCCCTTGGTTGTACGTTTCCTCCGTGGTGCCCGGAGGATGAGACCTGCGACTCGGTCCAAGGTTCCCACTTGGGATCTGGCAGTGGTTCTTGGGGCTATCTTGGCTGAGGCCCCCTTCAAACCCCTGGAGTCAGCTGAGGCTAAGCACTTGACCCTCAAGATGGCCTTTCTCCTTGCTATCACCTCTCTGAGGAGGGTGGGGGAGCTCCAAGCGCTTTCGGTTTCCCCGCAAAGCCTGGAGTTTGCCCCGGGGAATATTAGGGCTATCCTGCACCCTCGTTCAGGATACATCCCTAAAGTGCCTTCTTGTGCGGCAGGGTCCACAGTGCTGCAGGCATTTCATCCTCCACCTCATGTGACGGCGGAGGACGGGAGACTTCATCTGCTCTGCCCTGTCAGAGCACTGAGTATTTACACTCTGAGGTCCTCCCGTTGGAGGAAGGCTGACCAGCTGCTAGTGTGTTTTGGGTCTCCCAGGGCCGGGCTCCCTGCATCCAAACATACTATTAGCAACTGGATTGTTCAGACTATTTCCCTGGCCTATCAGGTGCGCGGTTTGCCTTCACCTGTGGCTGTGAGGGCTCATTCTACCAGAGGCAAGGCGGCCTCTCGAGCCCTCCTTTCCGGGGCCTCTTTGCAGGATGTTTGTTTAGCGGCTGGCTGGGCCACTCCGCACACATTCATTCGGTTTTACAGTCTTGACCTTCCTTCGGCACCTGGCACTCATGCGCTCTCCTCTTAGTCGTGCCACTTTATTGCACACAGGGGCAGGCGGGGTTTTCGGCACGGTTTAGTGGGTATCTCGTTCCCATAGTGTCGTAACCGACGCAGTTCGAGTTCCCTCGAAGGGGAACGTCTCGGGTTACGTATGTAACCCTGGTTCCCCAAGAAGGGGAACGAGAGACTGCGTCGGTCCGCCGCACCTCTCTCCCCGCCTGAAGCGCCTGCTTCATAGTTTAAGCTAATGATGAGTGTGTACAGGTGTGCTTTATACTCCTCCGGTTATTCCGTCACACCTTACCGTTCTAGCAACAGGCCAATAGGATTGGAGTGATTTCATTCACGTTCAGACCTGCTTCGCCTAGAGGCGTTCCCATAGTGTCGTAACCGACGCAGTCTCTCGTTCCCCTTCTCGGGGAACCAGGGTTACATACGTAACCCGAGACGTTTGTTAAGCATGCTTTCTGAAACAGGGCCCAGATGTTAAAGTCCTTTTACAAACTTAAGGAAAAAGGTCAGTTACACCCTGGGGTAAAGTGTATTCCCCTCACTATGGAATAACTGAACATGCAACATCCTGTATTAAGATCTGAGATGTCAGCTGTGGAGTTTCCTTTGGTTCAGTCTCTGCATGTTTACTGCACTTTCAGTGTGAAGTTTGTCCTGTGGAGTGATCATCAAATCGGGATGTTTGTTCTCATCTGGGCGACTTTGCTTTTCTCTGCGAGAGACAGCATTGCAGACACAGGTGCATCTTTATTATAATCTTGCTGTGATACCCAACATTAAAGATATGTGTTCTTCCAAATAAGTTATTTAGTTTTTCCACCCTGAATTTACCAGCTCATTAGCAGCATTACTCACAGCATTTATTGACTTACCCGGAAACTCTGGGATAAATAATTAATAGTAAGTTAAATGATTATTTTCTTTACCAACAATATTTGGGATAAAGAAATATGTTAAATGCTGAAATTCCATTGTTGTATTTGTTCAGTTCTGCTGACAACAGCAGTTATAAAACAAAAACAGTATATGTATCTGTATATGTCTTCATTGTTTATTAAAATGGTGTGTTGTCAAAATATAAATATTATCTGTCCCTGTTTTTCTCTCACTGTTTGCATTAACAGGAGCATCAGTGGAGAAAAGAACACGCTGTCAAAGTGGATTCTGTATCTGTATCAGTCAAAGTTGCTATAGATAATGGTTTTAGAGATTTGAGGTGACATGTAAAGATTTTATGTGTAAGCAGTTGTAAAAAACTGTAACTGACTCTGGCCCTTTTATCTATTTGTTTGGTGGAAACTTCTGATTAGTGTGTTATCAATTTTAACTATCTGTGTTTCCACCTGTGCTGATTGAGTGAACAATATCGAATGTTAGTGTTTTCTCAATCATTTTAGTTCAGAAGCCTGGTTATAGTTTTTAAGCAATGGAGAAAAACTGTATTAAAGAGACTGAGAAACAGTGGTACTGAGGCAATGTTTAAATGAATAAACAGTACTGAAAGAAAGAGATGAGCTGACTACTCACATACTCACATACTTGGGTTCAGAAAATCAACCACCCACTACCGAATTGACGGGTCAAGTCACAAAGAGTCCAGAATTTCTAGTTAAGACTCCTTTATTGCCAAATTGTGGTAGGTGTGTGTGTGGTTCTGAAATGAGGAATAATATACAGAGTAAGGCACCATATTACAACCCATTAAACCAGTCATTATTAAGAACTAAATGAGAAAAAAAATTAAATAAACACCGCTATACCTAGAACGGCCACAAGGTAGCACCACAGTGATGCCAGCTAACCACCTTTCCACACCTTGACCACTTTTCCACTCTAAAATTATCTCATTAAAGAAAGCAGTTGACAGCTAGGCAGCTATTAATAATAAAAAGGTGCATTGAATGTAATTACATTAAGCACAAGCTCTACACATATAGAACTAGCACTGTAGATACTCACTTGCTCGTAAATGGGCCTAATTGACATGACTAACAGTAGCTACAGTGAGCTAGAGCAAGATTTAGACAAGAAAAGGGGAAGACTATAACTATAATAATGTGAAACTTAAAGTACTTACAGTTCAATGGACGCACAGTCGGAAACAGAGACATTAACACTCTTTTTGTAACTTCATTGGAACTCTCAGATCTCTCCATCAGCCTGTGAACTGCACTGGGCAGACGGAACATACGACTCTAAGAGGGGGGCGGAAAGTACCACTTGAAGATAGGGGGTGGAAGGTTCCATGTGTTGCTGGCCTTTTTAACAAGTACAGTGACTCTTCTGGTGACAGTATCTACAGATATTGCACAACAAACCATAAAAGCACATAAGTGTGCAGAAGTGCTTCCAGTTCAAAGAGGCTGCTTGCAGTTGAAATGGGGAAATGCTGAAAGCAGATTATTTCTGTATGACTCTGTTGGTACTTAATGCACTTGATCTGTCTTAAGGTATGTTTTTAATACGTGACTAATAACAATGTTCATTTGACCATCATCACTGTAGATATTAGTTAGTAATAAAGAGACCCAACAGCGATGCACAGTATGTGTGCAGTGTGTGTTGTGGCGGATTGCTGACATACAGTTGTTCAATATTAACACTTCAAAACACATATCACAAGAAAAAAACACTTTAGGAGAAGTGTTCTGTGCTTGTGCTGGTTTGTCGGTTTCTCAAGATGTCAAAAATCACACGTTAACAGTAGGGCCTACTTCTCTTTTCAAAACGTTTTACATTACTTCAGTAATCGAGAGGTAAAGGGGCAAACAAAAAACATTTTCTTATCATTATTCATTGTTAAAGGTGTAAATGTGTAATTAGTTATAAGATACACATAATGTGATATTATGAGATTATATGCGTGTAAAAGCCTGCCAGTGTTTGGGCAGGAGAAATATTGCTCAGCAATGTCTAGGGACTTCCTGAAACCTTGTTGTTGCACAAAGAGGGAAGGAATAGAAAAGTGAGGAGAGGAAGGGTCAGTTCAGAACTTAAACACTGTTCATGAAGGAGAGCCGGAGAACGAGGTCGAAAGAGGTAAAACACAAGATCTAATATGTTTTAAAATAAGTTTTTGGACAGTGAATGGGAGTTGCTAAAGTGATTAATTCTTCCCTAATTAATATCAAACTAATATCAAAATGCTTTTGGATGTTTGTGATTTGCTGGTATAGGGGTCGACTGTGCTGAAAAAGAGAGCTTGTTGGTGCATTTAGTAAAAGATTCAGGAAGCCTAAAGCTGCAGTTTTTGTAGAGATTATTTTAGTAAAATTAATTTACAGTATAAAAGACCGTTTGAGAACACATGTTATAAAGTCCTTTCTGTGAATTAAAAAAAAGCTTAGCTATACATGGGTAAAGTGTATATATCTTGCAACTATAGAAAGATGCAATATACAGCTGTGGAGTTTCCTTTGGTTCAGTTCCACACATGTTTTGTACTTTCAGTGTAAAGTTTGTCCTGACAGCATCTAATCAGGATGTTTGTTCTCATCCTGGCGACTTTGCTTTTTTCTGTGAGAGGCAGAAATGCAGACACAGGTATGCCTCTTTATTATAATCTTCCTGTAATGCCAACATTAAAGATGTGATTGACAATGTTTGCAATAATTTGCCAGGATACATGTCATTTAAAGGTTTAAAAAATTACAAGTATTTAGTTTTTCCACCCTGAATTAAATGTTTTATTTTTATCATTAGTAACATTACTTACAGCATTTATTGACTTACTTTGAAACTCTGGGATAAATAGTTAAATGTTATGTAAATGACTATTTTCTTTACCATCAATATTGGGAATAAAGAATATGTTAAATGCTGAAATCCCATTGTGGTGTTTGTTCAGTTCTGCTGACAACAGCAGTTAGTTTAAAACAAAAACAATACAAATGTCTGGCAGGTCTGTAGTGTAAATATCCCTTATCCCTGTTTTTCTCTCACTGTTTGCATTAACAGGAGAATCAGTGGAGAAAAGAACACGCTGTCAAAGTGATTCTGTATCACTCTTAATGAAGGAGAGACAACAGCAGAGGCTGGACTCTGTGTTGTGATACCGTGTTCTTTCACCACTAGTTATGGCTTCACACCCCAAAATATAATTTGGTACAAATGTGAACAATCTAAACCAAGATGTGTTGATTCAGACATGATATTCCACACTAACAAGAACAACAGAAAAGTTCAGTCTGGGTTTAAAGGACGAGTGTCACTATTGGAGCCTGACGTGAGTCAGAAGAACTGCAGCATCATCATCAGTGACCTCACTGAGTCAGACTCTGGATCATATCAGCTTAGAGTTACTGGTAACAACCAGCATAAGATGAAAGATGGATTTACATTCTCTCCAAGAGCAACTGTCTCTGTTACAGGTATGTAGAGCTACAACAAAAATATACAATGAAGTTAATTGTTGTGCTATTCATAGTCTTAATGGAGCATAAATAATGTTTTTTTTACCCATTGAAATGTTCAACAAAGTATCTGATTGTTTTGGCCCAAATGTTAGTGAATGATGATCATCATGCTGCTCACCTGATTCCACTCATGGACTGCTCTCCCATTAGATCTGATCCAGACGCCCACAGTTATGGTTCCTCCACTAACAGAGGGACAGCAGACCACACTGACCTGCACTGCTCCTGGTCTCTGCTCTGGATCTGATCCTGAAATCACCTGGCTGTGGAGAGGACCAGGACAGAACGACTCTCACATCACAGGAAACATCACTGCTTTCAAGACTGAGAATCTGACTGCTGTCACACAAAGACACAGCTCAACTTTGATGTTTAACTCTTCAGCTGAACACCACGGCACCAATGTCACCTGCAGGGTCAGGTTCACAAACATCACTACAGAGGAGACAGTGACTCTGAATGTGACCTGTGAGTAGCACCTACTGTCTGTTATC